GTTTTCAACAAAAAAAGCTCTATATTGTAATCTCACAATAATCAATGAGATTTTCAAAAAAACACTCCCAGAGGAACCCAAATATTTCAATTACCTTTTTTTTGATGAATGAATTCCTAAGAAATAAATAATTTTTCATTGAATTGAAAAACATTCAGTTGATTGTGCAGATCAAAGATTGACTAGATTTCTTGCGAATGTTCTGATTTCGAAATTGCAACATGATATATTTTTTTTTAATCATCAGTAAAGATAGGTACTGTTAAAGAAAATAATCAGATATTTTGGAAATCTACTGACTGAAAGCAAGAAGATTGTGAAAAATATTTTATTGTCGTTTTCTGACAACCAGATAGTTCTGTATCCGAGTGATACATTTCTCCTCTTATCCTCCAAATATGTTTATATTACATTTTTTCATACTATTGATATACTTTGGTAGTTGTTATTCTGATGTACCAATATTTATAAAAAAAATCGAACGTTGTATTTCTCAATTGTATTTCATAATTTTTTTTCAAGTTATATTGGTCAGTTTTTTATTGTAATTTTTTTTTAAATTTTTTTTGCCCTATTTTATTATGGTTTAGTAGCATTCATGAAAACTTGTCATTTTCATAACACTACAAAAGTATTATATTGATGATTGACTAACTTTATTTTCAACTTATTCAAATTTACATAATTAATTTGAACCATTTTGAAACAGGTATGAATTAATGTCACCTATTTTTAGTGCTATGCTATACTCTTTAAAGATCAAGATCAATTCAATTTCTAAAACTTCAAGTGTCAAATAAAAACAAAATATGAAACAGTTGAAAATTACCAAAATCGATTAGGTCTATCAGTATGAGTGTTCATCAAAATATCAAAATAATAAAAATGAAAGTGATATATGATGAATGAACTTTTTCTTTGAATGAACAATATTTTTTAGGTTTAGTATTGTCATCAAATTTTTCGTAATTGAATTGACTTTCATTTCCGATACCTCTCGTTACGTCTCGTTTGACCCAATTTTCGATTCGCCTAATTTTAGATTCGCCCAATTTTCGATTCACCCACCGTCTCCGAACATACCCGAAAAATGCGTTTATGTCAAATAATGCCACATTTCCTCGGATTCAATGAAACGGGAATTATCAACAATCATTTCACATTCAAATGTCGTTGGGCCAACATTTCGTTTCACCCAATTTTCGATTCGCCCAATTTTCGATTCACCCAATTTTCGATGCCCCCAATTTTCGATTCACCCAATTTTCGATGCCCCCAATTTTCGATTCACCTAATTTCGATTCGGCCGAATAAGGTAGGTTAGGTAGTTTGAAAAGGGTAGTCTCCTTCCTTATGCAGAAAAGAATATTTTCCTTCCTTATATTACGTCGGGATTCGGGTCAATCGAAATTTGGGTGTATCAAAATTTGTGTGAATCGAAATTTGGGTGAATCGAATTTGGGGCGAATTGAAAATTGGATGAATCAAAAATTGGGTGAATCGAAAATTGGGCAAATAGAAAATTGGGAGAATCGAAAATTGGGTAAATCGAAAATTAGGTGAATCGAAAATTAGGTGAATCAAAAATTGGGTAAATCGAAATATGTACCAAAAGATAAGCCCAGGATGATTCTTCATTTAGATTTGGCAACAATGCATCGAAAGTTGGGTGAATCGAAAATTGGGTTAATCGAAAATTGGGTTAATCGAAAATTGGGCCGAACGCAACCTACCCACATAAAGTGACGGCTCATTAAGATTAGCAAGATGAATTTGTATTGGTTCCTTCCGAGGTGGTATTTTGAACACCTACATTTTTACCTTTTCATAGCGCCCGCCAGGGGGAGGGAAGTGACCACTATGCCCCCCTGAAAAAGTGGGAGGGGGTACCACGTTCAATCAGGGTAATCCTGAAAAAAATAATAACTGCATAGTGCATTTCTTACACAGAATAAAGTATAGCTCCTGACCCTGAAAATTAATGAGAAATTACATATTTTCATAAGTAATTCAATATTTCTTTCATATGAAACTTATTTGAAAATAAGTAGGCACCTATATTTTAACCACAAAAATTTCATTTTTTCAATATCTTGGAGCTAATTTAGATATCTTCATGAAAAACATGTTTTGGCATTAAAAATCTAATACAGGGTTTCCCACCTATCCTCGCTTTTACCATTGCTGCTACGCTGATGAAGATTTTGAGTAGGTCAACTCTATACCATATAAAGCCTGGCAAAATATTCAAATGTGTTTTCAATGGATCAACCTCCAATTTTTTTCATTTTCAGGAATACTTCTTGAATATTTTTGGAAAAAGTATACAGGGTGTTAACAAATAAGTGTCACAACGGAAAACTGTAAATTCCTCATAATAAAAGAAACATTTCTTTTCTCTTCAAAATTTTTCTCCAGGCTTTCGTTTTCAAGATACAGGGCGTCAAAAAATCAAAAATGTTCAGTTTAATTAAACACACTTTACAACACTTAATAAACTTAACAATTCGAAAACCAGCATCAGCATACACAAGAACCTGAAATTTGATTGACCATATTAGACAGTTCTGAGGTGTTTATTTCCAGTGGATATTTGACAATTTTTGGAGATACAATCAGGCTTTTGTATGTTCTTATTCATAGAGCCATTTTTCTCGGAAACTGTTCACTTTAGAGCATTGAGACAAGAGGACGTTTTTTGTGTGAAAAATATTGGCGCTTCAGAATCTACTTTGAAAATTACAATTTCTCCAGTGGCATAAATGTTTGTACGAGGCGTTGAATTCTCCTCCACTGACATGTCCAAGGAAATTGATCAAGAGCCCTAAAAGTAGTCATTATTGATGATGAAGTGTGTACGAAGGCTCAACTCCGTAGCTCGAACGGTTCCTGAGATAGTAGCAAAAAACAGATTTTTTTGTATTTCTTTGACGCCCTGTATCTTGATAACGGAAGCCCGGACAGAAATTTCGAAAGGGAAAAAAATGTTTCTTTTTTCATGAGCAATCTAGAGTTTTCCGTTGTGACACTTATTTGTTAACACCCTGTATATGTAGGAACATACACTTCATCTGAGTTCATTCAGAATATACAGGTATTCGAAACAAGGGGAGAATTTCGCCATTTTCAAAATCCTGAAACTTATTTTTTTCAGATGAATCACCCTGTATACGATTTTACGGTCTTTTCAGTAGTACCAAATGGTTCAGTACAATTCTCATGTTCTTTTATGATTTTTCACTGAAAATGTTCTGTAAAATAGTTTTTTTGTTATTCCTACCAATGATGGAAGTGAGATATGGTGCGCGTATTCGGCCATTATTACGTATTGAAAATTTCAGAAAAATCACTCGACCGGCCTACTATGATTTCTCTACGTCACGACGAGCGAGACGTTGGTTTTAAATTTTCCCGCTAGATGGTGATGCTGCTATTGCTGCTGTGACGAGTAGAAATAAAATGGCAAATGGCATTTCAGGTACGCGGAACATATGTAACAGTGGGATTATTCAACTCTCAATTCGAAAAATCTGCGACAATTTCAAAACTGACAGATTTTATAATTGTGCAATGTCGCCATTTATTAGAAGATCGACGGAACCATTGCTCTCTCTATTCTCGAGAGGTCGAGTAAAATTTCTGAAACAAAAGCGCATCAGTAATTACACCATATCTTACTTCCATCAATTTCCTACCTATCACTGGAAACTGTAAAGCACTCTGAATGGGCTTGTTTTCAGATTGTAGAATCTTATACTGGGTGATATATTTTGAAAAATAAAAATTAAACCAGCCTGAATGAACCGAAATAATGTTTATGTTCTCACACATTAGGGACGTTCTTTCATTCACCAACTGTGTTCATATTCTTTGGTGGATTCCAGTTTGACGTAACCACGCGTTCATTTATTACTGTTGTGTCAACCAAAATTGCAAACCATTCCACCGATGTACAGAGATGGTGGACGAATTTTGGTGACTTCCGAAATGACAGCGACAGCATAACCTCAAAAAACTAAAAATAAAAGCTGTTTGCCATTTGCCTAAGAAAAAATATGGATGAATTAATCGAAATCAGTCTAGAATATGAAAATAAAAGAATAGCTGCATTATTGACACCAACAGAAATTGAAGAAATTTCGAGTGGTAGGTGCTTTTTTCTTTCCCATCATGAATTTCAAGAAATTAGTGCAAACATTCAGGAAACATGAGAACTAACAGAGAATTCTTATAAATGACTCTAGCAATATCATCAGAATTTAAGCGTTAGGCAATGTTTTGTATATAGGTTCTTGAGAATTTTCAACCTATCTCGTCTACTCCTCAACAAAATAGTTATTTATACACCAAGGTAGTAAAGAATATCATTATTACCCAGGGTTCAATCGCAGGGTTTATTAATATTCTCTACTGTCAAGGTTTATATTGATTTTTTTTCACCACTAGCAATATAATTCAAATGGTAGCCTATGTTGACATGCAACTTCCTAGAGAGGAAGAATTCAAAGAAGATAAGTGGTTAGCCTTCTAGAGACCGAGGCGTTACTGGTGGCCCACCCTGTATAAAAGAAGTTTGTGAAGCCCACATGAAAAAGAGACTCTAAAAATGAAATAAAAAGTACAGGGTGATCAAATGAAGATCGAATGTTTCGCCACGGATTTATGGTACACCTTGTACACTTGAAAGTAGTTTGGAAAAGATACTGATGAGATTTTTTATTTGAATCTTCATTAACTTTGCAGCAATGTTTCAAGAGAGGATAGGTGGGCGAGCCTTATCCAAATTACTAGAAGGACTGTGCACTGGTATGTTTCAATTTGTGAAAATAAATAATTATGTACAAAAATATAAATAATTTGTCAAAAACAACTGTCCCAGAGTGGCAATAAAATTATCCTCCAAGCAAAAATCATCAAGAAAAATGAATTCACATAAATTAAACAAAAATGATCACAATTAACCTCAAAATCTACTTTGAGTCGAAACAGTACGCCATCCGTCACGGAACCCTGTGCTCGGGACAGTAAGCCTTGAACTCGTCATCAAGAAACTGCCAGTTGTTCGACCTCGAACAACAAAGATGCATGACGTTCAAGCAACCCCTCCTCAAACACGATATATTCGCCCCCTTCAAGTTGCACAACCGACACACGACGTTACACGAAGTCCAAACGGCCTCCTCCAACCCCACGATCTTCGGACCAATCAGATAAATCCCCGGGGACCACACGATACAGTCCTCGTGGGCCCACACCTCGAAGGTCTTGTTGTTCGTTTCGGTGATGCCCAGATAGATGTCAGCTTCGCCATCGGACGCGTCGTAATCGACATTTTTCCTTTTGACCTTCTTCCCGCTAGGGGCCCTGCCGGCCTCGTCCAGCGCCCTGTTGATCTTTTTGCTCTTAAAGTGCTTGTCGTACGGATCGTCCAACCGCCTCTCGAACTCGGGACACTGAGTTGTAATGAAATAAGGACCGAACAAATCCCCTGGTGGCACCACTTCCCTGTTGGAAGTAGGCCCGGATAGTTCGCTGGCGTGGGGGCCCCTCTTGCAAAACGAGCAGATCCACGTCGCGTCTTTGGTCTGAGCGTCGTACTTGTTGCTTAGCGTGCTGCAGTGCAGACCTTTCGACCTCACCTTGTGCCGATACTCGCTGTCGTCGTGGTACTTTTTCGTTCTGGGCAGCTTCCTTTCGCCGTCGTCTTCGTTAACTGGGGTGTTGACGACGCTGACTGAGAGCGGGGAGTCCCTGGGCCCTCGGATGTGGACGAAGGGCCCCTTGGACTTGGTGGAGCTCGTATTGCTGCCCGAATCGTAGGCGTATACGTCCTTGACCGGCTCCACTTTGGCCGGTTTCTGGACTGGCTTCTTGGCGATGGTTTTCGCCTTCAGACCCTTGCCAACTTTCTTTTTCTTCGTGGTGGGTTCCATGGAATTGGTGTCGCTGTTTCTTCTCGAGCCGGCTGGCGTCTTTCGCTTGGTTTTCTTAGGAGACGGGGATTTCTTCTTGATTTCCGTACTGGAGGTGACTATGGTCTCGCTCTTCTGACTAGTCGATGGGATAGAATCATCGAGTTTCAACAAGGGATCGTCCAACTTCGAGTCGTCTAGGTTGAGTGGGTCCGACTTGATTGGGTCGCTGGTGTCTTCGATTCCTGCAAACATCTCTTCCAGCTTGTTCTCCACTTCGACAAAGTGGGTGTTGGTAGCTTTTTTCTGGGCTGGAGTGATCATCGGGTTGGGGCTATGACTCGTATCAGGCAATACTTCCTTAAGATTCTCTTTTGTTTTTATCACACTGACAGATATTGGCTTAGCTTGGAGCTCCACCTGTACGTCTTCCTTTCGTTTTTCAGGCACCTGTTGCAGCTGCCTTTGCTGTTCTTGTTGCTGCTGCTGCTTTTCCTTCAGACCTTCTTGTACCATAGCGGCGATGTCATCGATCGTTTCGGATTCTGACGAAGTTTTTCGCCTGATTTTGGGCGGGATCAGCTCATCGAGCTCGTTTGAGGATTCTACTTTCTCTGGATTCTTTGTTTCCTCCAACATTTCGCCAACAATGCAGACGGGATCTTTTTCGGGCTCAATGTCCATATCCACTACTCTCGTCACAGATTCGATACTTTCAACAGCAACAGCAGTTGCTTCGACTTTTTCCTCGTCTTTGGAAACTCTTACAGTCTTACTTGGTTTCCGTTTTCGCCTCGACTTATTACTATCTAAACTATCCTCATTACTATAAGATGACACTGTATCGTCATCTCGGATATTCGTAGATGTCGGAACATTGAGAATACTGCTGGAATTGCTATTGTCATCGAAACTACTGGTCGGTTGAACGATCACACTGACAGGGTTTTCTGAGTGGTGGGGCGCTTCCACTTTATCCTCGGACTTATCCGCAAGCTTCACAACCCCTTCTTCAACTTTATTATCTTGAGGCAACATAATTTTTTCAGTCATGATATTAAGTCTTTCCAAAATCGAATCAACTCTGACATTCGACCTCTTCTGGGTTTTTATAACATCCAGCGTGGTCGACGACGGTAGTTTCAAACCAGGACTAGCCGCCTTCAGGCCTGGACTCAACGATTTGAGACCTGGGCTGACAGACTTCGGGATGGGACTCGGAGAAATCAAACTGTGACCGGTGGGCAACACATTCCGATTGCCCAAAATCAAACTCGGGTTCGAGGATAATAAAGCACTAGCGGATATCAAGCTCGAAGGGGCCGATATCAAACTGGGACTAGGCGATTTCAGGCCGGGACTTGCCGATTTGAAACCGGGACTTGTCGACTTCAGACCGGGACTTCCAGACTTCAAAACTGGGCTAGAAGGTTTGGTCATTTCGACAGCCTGTATTTCGAGAGCACTAGGTGGCAAACTGTTTATTTTATTAGTGTCTCTAACACTCAAACTGATCGGAATTGGCGGGAGCTCTCCATTTTGGTTACCGTTCCGTGTCAAACTTAAATCGACGCAATCTCTTGGAAATAGCGATTCGAAAACTTGCGGATGGGGTAGAATTTTCATTGCCTCTGTTGTGGTCGGGGTGTGCCATGTGGGCTGATGAAGTATGGAATGTTCATTGGACATGTGCGCCAACTGTGGCTGTCTTGGAAAGTAGTTTGGTACCTGGAAAGAAGATCATAATGTACAAAATACGCTCCTCCTGCAGATAATCAATGCTTTATCGATATGTACCTTTATCGAGTGGTACTTGATTATTTTTCGATTTGTATCATTTTTTGACATTATTAATTTCGGAAACTGGAATTCATGATATATATTATGTACAGGGTAACACAGAAATAAAGCTGGATGGTCATCGAAGTAATAGATTGAAATGATCTTTCGATTGATAAAGCAGAGTAAACATATGGGGTTGTATGTACTAGTCGAATTAATGCCACATACCCAATTTATATTGATATCCTCATGTTTTAAAAGTTTTTGATCCAATTAATCGTTTAATAAGAATCGGCATCATTCCAAAACGATTGCTCTTGATAACGTAATACCCGATATGCACCGATAGTGACTGAATAAGTGCATAACCACATTGCAAGAATTCACTTTCATCGTAGGGGTGTACTGAGATATACACACAATACATGTCGTATCGTATTTAGTGTCATACAGAGTCCTGAGGAGAAATCATTTTGTGACAGTGAATTCGTATGGATAAGAACTATGAGATGATGAAATCATTTTTTATTCACTGAAACAGGCCCTTTATACACACAGGCAAGGCCTACTCTATCTCACCGGGCCGTAGTCTATCCCCTCTACCTTGATGCTGACGTCACACTAGTAGGTTGAGATTTCACATCATTCGGTGCGTTCGTAATTGAAAGGTTATAGCTTCAAAAATTAGAAGCACACTCAATCGAGACGACTTGATCCCTGATGAACTACCCAACTTTCGGTAAAAAAATAAATTCATTAGGATGAACCAGTACCGATTTATGATGTTGTAAAGAAATTCAATTTCAATGAAAATCAGGACGTCTCTTCAATTCTAATTAAAATCTAGTAGACATGACCTCATGACAGCATTTGACAAATAGTTATTGGTAAATAGCTACTTGATTCGAGTGCTATTCCTGCGAATTCCGCATCCGCATGTCTTTATTGACTAGTAGTTCATAAAATTAGGAAAACTACCTTGTAGTAAAAACACACTTTACACCATGAAAAGGAGTAAATGATGGTATGTTCTACAACTAGTGGTGGTAATAGTTATTTATGTACAAAGGACGAAAAACTGTTTATTACCTATTAAATATTGGTAGGTGAATGAGCAAGCAAGCTAGATAGTACGGTTTTTAGCCGAGATGCATAATATGATATTTTTTCATCGACCTTTACATACCTTTATAAAAGTAAGCACTCACCTGTTTGCTGACTGGATCATAATTTCAATAAATTTGAATAAAATGTAATCTGATTGGGTGTAACAACTCTTTATTTCAATCATGCATACCTACTACAAAATCAAATCAATCTTGATCATGAATATTGAACGTAAAGTTTGTGCCATTATTGATATTAATTCCTGCTGTCGAAGAAGATGCAAGAGACAAGTTTTGATTTTGGGTACTTGTTGATGCAACTTCAAATACAGGTGCTCCAGTAGCACTATTTTCAACATGGCCTATTTGCCATAAGGCACATAAGGCCCGGTGTAAAGGAGGCCCGGAAAAAGGTTGAAAAAAATTATTATTAACTATTCCAATTCAGATTTGATTAACGAAATAAGCTGTAAAATTCAATAAATTTAGTTCTAGATTAGTATTAGAGTCATATTGATATACAGTGTTCAGTATGTGATTTCTCTTTGTTATACAGGGTGTCTGAAAAAGGTCTTTACAAAAACATACCACATATTCCTTAGACCAAAATAAGTCGATTTAAGTAAAATTACCTCAGTACAAAGTTGCATCGTTTGGGCTCCAGAGGGCCTTGAAGTTACAATTTTTAAATCGTTTTTCCCATATAAATTTAAAACGGCATATGCGATTTTGCTGAAATTTGGTATATTGATAGAGTTCCATGTGGCAAAAAAATGGTGTTAAAATATTGTCCGATAATAATACATAGGCGTAGAACTTGATTTTTTAAATAATTGCACCTTTAAAAATTCTACGCCAATGGAAGAAAATGAGTTTGAGCATGAAATTTAGATTGCACAACTCATTTACTTTAAAAAAGGTACTCCTGATAAGACTCGATTGCTCTCATGGTTTCGACGAAATTTGCATTTCAGTAATTTTAGAACATAAACAATAATTATTAAAATACAAACTTTGTCAAAACCATGAGAGTAAATCGAGTGTTATCAGGGGTACTCTTTCGTAGTAAATGAGTACCCAAACCAAATGTCATACTCAAACCCCTTTTCTGCCATTGGCGTAGAATTTTTAAAGGTGCAATTATTTAAAAAATCAAGTTCAACTTTTTTTTTCAATATCATTACACAACAAAAAAACTGGAGTTTCCAAAAATGAGCTGGAAAATTCTTATTGTAAAGTCATATACGATATTGGGGGCCCGTAATTTTGCTCGTACCTTGGGCCCAACTGAACAAAAAATAGGCCCTGATTTTCGAAACTTTTTTCTAGGAGTGCTTCACCTTTAAAATGCTTGTCGATGCGTTTATCTTATTGGGAATAGAATCCTCAATGTATCCCTCGGCGACTGTTGGCGATTTTCATCCTCCATGCCGTTTTAATGACAGAATATCTGCGTTTCTCGAAAAAAATGAGGGGCAATAATAGTTATTTAACCAACTAGTGTATTAATGAGAGCGATTAATGATCGAGATATTTTAACGTGCGAGCGAAGCGAGCGCGTTAATGTTTGAGATCATTAATCGCCTTTTAATATACAAGTTGGTTATAAAATTTTTCCGTCGACTATATTTCATCATTCATCCGGAAACTGCTAAGAATCACCCAGTAGCCTTGTTACTGACATTAGTGACATTTGACATTTGTAGAAATGATCAACATAGAAAATAAATTCCTTGTGTTAGAAAACAGGGATTAAAATGGTGTCAGAAACTTGGAAAGGCGAACCCGTTGAGGGAAAATCTTCGATGAAATCCATATATTCGATTTAAATGCAAATTCCGTAAGTTATAGCATAAACAATGAATGCACGCGGTGTATGTTTGGTTGCCTATAAAACAATCGTGCATTAATAGACAAATCGTTCATTAATAGGGGTCATTAATGAACGATTTCATATACATTAAACTTAGTCGTTAATACGAGGTCGACGGAAAAAGTCTATAAATTGAACAATTCACATAATCCGGTAACTACATGATGTCAGAGGTGTACTAATAAATATTTTGGGTGCAAGATATTTTAATTAATAGAAAAAAATAATTAATCTCTGACCTCTTGTAGCCCCGCTACTGATCGATATCAGACTCATGTTTATAAAGACTTTATTGATTATAATGATGAGATCTATCACACATTTCAGTTTGTGTCTCAAAACTTGAATCACCCTGTATGCACACCCACGTAATATTCGAAATTATACAAGGTAGCTTAACTCATTTGAACATTCTGATTGTTTTGAAATCATAGGAAGAAAATAATCACTTGTAATTATTACAAAGTGTGTCTGTTTAACAGTTGAAATTTGTTAAACTGACACGATATCTACTGATTGTGTAGGAAGTTTGAGATGTATAACCTTGTAGATTTTGAAGTTGCCATTGTTTTTTTGAGTAGTCTCAACAAACGTCAACATTTTACGTCGAGCTTTGTTTGTATGTAACAATACGAATTAATTACTATGGAAATGCAAATAATTCTAAATTTCTGATTGGTGCAGCTACTCTATGCATATCCACGAATTGATCATTCCAGAACACGTGATTTTGACATGGTTTCTTGAGGGGCACACAAACTATCTGTTAGGTTACCTTTGATGAGCATAGCCCTGGCCATCCCTGCCATATCCACAATATAATAACAGTTTCAACAAACAAAATTATGAAATTCTTTCTGGTTCCAACTCGGATTACAAGGAAAACGATCCCACTAATTCCGGTTTCGTATGACAAATCTTGACAAAATACAATGTTTGCCCCTCAGCAACCTGTCAAATGACGTAATTCTGGAACGATTAATATTCGAAATCATAGCTTAACTCATTCGAACATTCCGATTGGTTCAAGATCATAAATGAAGATAATAATCAGAAAAAAGCATATGGTGCCATATGAAACAAAAAAGTCGGGTCGCTGACGTTACAGTTGAAATTTGAAAAAAATTATGATCAGAGCCTGTAAGTGAGTCATTTCATTTAATCTTTTGTTTTTCAAATTCGGATAGTTGATAGCGGCACTATGAATTGAGGCGTTTCTTGTTACTAAGCCTGTATGTGGTCAGGGCAACGAATTTGACTTCCCTTCATGATATTATGGCTAGAAAGGGTGGAATTTTACTACAAAGGTCCAATGATAGTAGGAGAGCCGGCTGCAGATTACTACCGTCATCTGATAACGAAATGATATGTCCCAAAAGAACGTGAAAACATTGTAGTTGTGTACTATTCTGACCCATTTCAACTGCTCATATCTCCGAAACTATTCAAATTATCGTTGTGCGGTTTGGACTTCTCTATTTTGATATTCTTCAAGTTTTTTGACTGGGTCACTTTTTCACCTGAACTTCCGGTTCTACCGGAAAAAAACAAGCCATTATTCAGGTATAGGGCTACTTTGATAAAATTGCATAATCTCATTATACCATTCCACAAGCAGTAGTTGTTTCAAAGAGTTATAACTCTAATAGTTTTCTGGAGAACATAACTTGTAATACATTGTTAGATAGAGAAGAGACCAGTCTTTCTGAATGTGCAAAAATATACAGGGTTCAATGATTCAATGAAATAAAAAAGTTTACCTATACCTGGATTATTGCTTGTTACACGTCAAAAAAACATCAAAATAGACTAGTCCAAACCGCACAGCGATAACTTGAATGATTTCAGAGATATGAGCATTTGAAATGGGTCAGAATATAACTGGTCACCCGGTATTTAAACAATAAATAACAGGATTTTTCATGTATGCTCATCATACATCTTTTACTAAACTTATTGAAAATAAATCAAGGATATTATGTATACCTCTATTATTTTTTTTCATAGTGATAACACAATATCCTAAACTTTTTTCAATCAGTTTATTAATGAACGTGGGCAAACTTCCAGTGCTTATGACCTCATCAAAATCAAATGCTGGAGATCGCATGTTAAAGAAAATTTCAAAATTCGGCATCGTTTTTTTCATGTTGTTTTTTAGTATCACTTAATTTATCGGTCCAACTTCGGAAACACCCTGTATACATAATAATTATGCAGGAATGTTTGTTCAAAAATGAGAATACTCAAATTGAGTACAAGTCAGACATACAGATATTTATACCACTATTTCTTTTTCATAGTGATAACACAATATTCCCAACTTTTTATTAAATCAGTTTGTTAATGAACGTGGGCAAACATTGTAACCATCAATAATACTTCCAGTGCTTAGGACCTCACCGAAATCAAATGCTGGAGATCTGATGGAGAAAATTTTAAAATTCAGTTTTTTTTTCATTTTGTCATTTTGTTTTTTAGTATCACTTGATTTATCGGTCCAACTTCGGAAACACCCTGTATACATAATAATTATGCAGAAATGTTTGTTCAAAAATGAAAATACTCAAATTGAGTACAAGACAGACATACAGATATTTATTTATATCACTATTTCTTTTTCATAGTGATAACACAATATTCCCAACTTTTTATTCAATGAGTTTGTTAATGAACGTGGGCAAACATTGTAACCATCAATAATACTTCCAGTGCTTATGACCTCACCAAAATCAAAAGCTGGAGATCTCCTGTACAAGAAAATTTTAAAATTCAGTATCTTTTTGTTTTCATTTTGTTTTTTAGTGTCACTTGATTCATCAGTCCAACTTCGGAAACACCCTGTATACATAATAATTATGCAGGAATGTTTGTTCAAAAATGAGAATACTCAAATTGAGTACAAGACAGTGAATGGATTTCCATCAAAATATCAAATAATTCACCTTGTAATTCAACAAATTCAGCAACCACTCCTTTGTTAAATATGTTAGTGCTACCCATGTGAATAAAAAATTGCTGAAGACTTTAAAAAATCAGTCTCAACAAATGAATTGAGGATATAAAAAGCTAATTGGTTGAGCAATTCAAATGTACCAATCAGCTTTTGAAGATTCTTAAATCAATTGTTAATTTCAAGTATAGTTGAGTTCATAAACTCTCATAAGAGGAAGTTTACTAGGTCCAGAAACAAATATTTTTTTATAATAATGTACCTATCTTCCTATCAATTTTTGAGGATATTCTGTATCCAGATTTTTAAACCAGGTATTCAGCAGATGTTGTACTTGTTTGAAGCACTGAGAAATACATGTATTTTGATAAAATTAAATATCTGGAGTGATAATATCTGATACCAGAATCTGATAACAAAGCTTCACTAAAGTCCTAGGACAAAACAATATTTTGAAACCTAGGCTAGGGTTTTAAATGGTGCCTTGCAATCATTTTTTTGCTTACTACTGAATTATTAATTATACCACCAAATGTCATTATTCAATTATTTAATGCAGTTTTGCTTGCAGAAGAAGAGTATGTATATATTTGGATTGAATGTTGGTCTGATTAGTATATAACACAAAAATTGCTTGTCTAATTGAGTACAAGACAGTAAATGGATTTCCATAAAAATATCAAATAATTCACCTTGTAATTCAACAAATTCAGCAACCACTCCTTTGTTAAATATGTTAGTGCTACCCATGTAAATAAAAAACTGCTGTAGAATTTCAAAAATCAGTCTCAATTCAAGTTGAATTAACAAATGAATTGAGGATATAAAAAGCTAATTGGTTGAGCAATTCAAATGTACCAATCAGCTTTAGAAGATTCTTAATTCAATTGTAAATTTCAAGTATATTTGAGTTCATAAACTTTCATAAGAGGGAGTTAACTAGGTCTAGAAACAAATATTTTTTTTTATAATAATGTACCTATCTTTTTCCTATCTATTTTTGAGGATATTCTGTATCCAGATTTTTATACCAGGTATTCAGATGTAGTACTTGTTTTGAAGCACTGAGAAATACATTTATTTTGATAAAATTACCAATTACTAATACCAAAACTTGATCACAAAGCTTCACACTAAAGTCCTAGGACAAAACAATATTTTGAAACCTTGACTAGGGTTTTGAGGGTGCCTTGCAATCCTTCTTTTGCTTACTACTGAATTATTAATTATGCCACCAAAAATGTCATTATTCAATTTTTTAATGCAGTTCTGGCTGCAGAAGAAGAGTATCTGATAAGGTATATTACACAAAAATTGCTTGTCAAGCCAAGTAGCAAAGTACTACTTTTGATCCTAATATTATAATGTATTATTTACAAAACCTATCACATTATTGATCACATAAGATAGTTAGCTACTCACAAGTAATTTCTCAGGGATTGAGACAAATAATTAATCATGATGAAATCATCCTGTAAATTGTTCAACATTACCTGTAAATGATTCCAAGCAGAGTTGGGAAGATTTGTGGCAGGAACCTGGCGGTTATGTGGATGATGTGGTGGACCTCCAGACATTTTATTATTTGTTGTAGAAGTTGATATAATCCAGGAAAGAATGATTCAGCTTCCCATATTCAGTCTGGTTGAATATTTCCATATGACAAAGGCATCAACACCATCAAAGGAACCATTTAGTAGAAATGATCAATGTACCAGTGATATTGATATGTACCATGAATTGGACTCTGGAATATAAAATCAAATAATTATTGGTCATCAATAATCAATATTTGAAAAATTAAAGTTATTGGGAATAACAGAGTTTACAAAGTACAAAGAATGAAAAATAAACAATGATTGTATCAAATTAGGTATTGTTGGTAATAGCATTTAGATTTGTGATACTAGGTACCACAGATGGAAATATAATTCCATTCCTTATTCCATTCCAATACCTACCTACCAGAGATAATTAAGATTTTGAAGAGGTAAGGTAGGTACCTACCACAAGATGACCAGAACTTTTTCAACTATCATTTTCAATAGGAGTTCTTTGAACTGTGGATCATACATTCAAAACAGACATAGTTAATAGTTAATTCTGTAATAACCTGAATGTTAATAAATTATGTAAACGAGATGAAACCGTTTATTAATGATGAATGATCAATATCAAGGTTTTCTTAGGCTTTTTCCCATTTGTTTGTCTTGCAAAGACTGTAAACCTCACATATTTTCTGGTAGTACACAAATATTTTAGCAGAAATGGAACTGTTAAACAGTTACAGGTATATTAGGTACATGTGGACAAAACTGAAATTATGGTACTACAGTTGTAGGCCATTTATAAGAACTTTATCGATGTTTGAAAAACACAAATCACTTCACTGAGCACCACACAGTGAGACTGAAATGTCTTCTATTTGATTTAAGACGATTGGGTGGATGGAAACACACCTAAAATATGGAGTTTGAATAAACTGATCACTGCCAATATTTATAAAAATCTTGGAGGCACGGCCATAAAAGCTGCCCATACGTAACAATGGCGGACCCGGTTTGTTCATTTTTGAGCATCAGCGCCATCTTCCTCCAGAAGCATTTCATTTTCTTTTTGATTTTTAGTTACCATTACATGAATGATTCATCTTCATTTCGAATTTTCTTAATTGTAAATAGGATAAGGAAGCATTATTAAATAACTAAATCAGAAAATACGACGCCCCATCAAAAATTCACTAACATGAATGGCGCAAAACGTGCGTGGACGCTAAACTATTTCTACCTGTTTTGTATAATGCAATAGGTATTTATTACTTAATAAATTTATTATTATAATTACCTATCTTCAGAACATCTAGTTTGGATGATTTCAAACATGCAATTCATTAATTTCATTATATTCATTCAAACATTTTTCAGATTATTTGCTCTTTTTTTCCTCAAAAATGCTCATTTTTCATGCCACTCTGTCACATTAACGTTTCAATATTGTGTTTTTACTTTTTCAAATCATTATTTGGAAATAAACGAATTTAATCATTGAAACATCTCTCTGATACTCATTTTGATTACTTCGAACTATTTTTATTTTAATTCATTACAAATTTATTATTCTTTATTATATTGTTAAAAGGCGAAAACGAAAGGAAATTGGGGAATTTTTTCCCGCTAGATATTTGGATTTGCATTAAATTCAGTCAAATTGTTAAAGTTGATCATACTGGAAGCAACGTTGTCGGGTCTACCACAAATCAATTATTTTCGGAAACATAAGTTTGAGGAAACTGAATTGAATGAAAGTTCATTTTCGAAATTATTATTTACCGCTGTATTTACCAACATGATAACTGATCTTATTCTAAAATTTTATAATTCATAAAATAACTGCTAGTATCAAATGTTTATGTATATTCCAACTTTTAACAGTTCAATCGATTCGATTTACCGACAGTGTGGTAACCGAATCCCAGCAGACACAATTACTTCTCAGAGATATCGCAGCCAGAGTCGCAGCGATGTAAGAATTGTGACCTGCGATATCGCATGCTATGTCGCATAGACGTCGCTGCGATATCAGAAGGCTGTTATTTTGTCCCACTCAAGTTTCATCGAAGCCCCCGTCGCTGCGATAAGTTATCTGCGATATAACAGCTATATATTTTGCAATGTAATTGCGTTATATTATTTGTAATGGAAAAGCGATGTGTTTCTGCGATAAAACGTGGAAAAGTTTTCTCAAACATGGTAATATATGTGGTCTTGGGGCTTGAAACCTGGTCCATTCAATCGCCTTTTCATCGGCGCTATCCATAGTACCTATACGCATCACCATCATCAGGATAAGATCAGTTACTCGTATCACTTTGTTGAGTAACGTTTCATTATTTTTCAACCAACAAGAATCTAAATAACATTCGTGATATCGCAGTGTTGCCTCATCATCACATCTCAGAGATGTCATGTCACAGATGTGTTTGCTGGGATCTTATTGTTATTTATTAAAATAATTTGAATATAAGTCTAAATACTTTTTGTAACCAAAGTCCTGTAACTGTAAATCCACCAAGCTCTCTTTCATTCCATTATGAACTGGATGAGACTCAAATTTACTAGAAAAAAGTTCGGCACTTGACTAATTGGAATATATGCTTCATTGTCAGGCAAGTATAGGCTCTTATGGGCCCTTTTTGCCTAAAGGCACTTTATCATTTATATAACCGTTTTTGTGAACCACTAACTGGATAGTATCTTTTACAACTTTGAATCATTTCATTAACAAATTGAAATAAATTTCTGCAAAGATAATTTTCATTTCCAAATCCTATATACATTCCATTCGTCGCCATGTCAAATACAAAAGTTCAAATCAATTCCAACACCTACCTTATCTCCCTATCCTCTCGATAGGGAGATAAGGTAAGTAACCATACAAATCTCCAAATAATCGAATTGATGACGAGTCTGAAGTTTTTTTGCGAACCCTCGGTAGGCGGTATAAAGTACATTAGAAATATCAGAGATTATACATATAAATATAGAATTCGTTCTTTTTAGCACTTTACGGAACGTTTCTTCGAAGGATTAAACTGATCCAATTAATGCCTAGGGACTAAAGATAAATGAATGAATCGTTGCTGAATTACTTCATTATTTCAAAGCAAACTGAATTGATCCTTCTAGACAAATTAATTATTATAATATTAATTTTCGAAAAATCTGCTAAACGCATAATACAAAATCAGTTTGGCAACGTCGAACATCATGCTTGAGGTGCTTGAGACTTTTGAGTGACAGATGACAGTCATTGTCAATTTAAATATTTACGTATTTATGTAAACAAGTATGGCTGCACAGGGAGTTCGTGGTATTTCGAGAGTTTTGGAAAAACTTGAGAAGTCTGTTAAGGATGGCAATTTTTACGAGGCACACCAGATGTACAGAACTTTGTATTTCAGGTATTGAATTTCAATGAACTGAAAGCAAGACATCTTTTCGCAAGGATTTTGTATACGTAACCTCACTGTTTCAGATATTTAGGACAGAAAAAATATAAGGATTTGAAAGATATGCTCTATAGTGGTTCTTTATTATTTCTAGATCATGAACAGGTACTGTATAGCTTGCTATAGTGATCTAATTAGTTTTATAACATCTATTGTAGCAATTAAGTGGATCTGACCTGGGATTATTGTTAATTGACGTTCTGGAAAAATCAGAAGACTATGAATGTGATACATGGTCCCCTAAGCTCACCAAGATATTCAGCAAAATAAATTCTGCTACTCCTGAGAGAGAAACCTTTTTAGCACATGCAATACGCTGGTCATCCAAAGGTTCATCTCATGGGCACCCTCTTTTGCATCAGGTAAAGGTTACATAATTATAATGAATCAGGGTTTTGCCCCCTTTCTTTGTTAATACACTATTCAATACCTTTCCAATTATATTAGGGCACTCACTTTCATAATGTAATGAAAATGAGAAACATCATACTCTTGTTGACATTGGTACAGAGACATACTGACTAAACTTCCTTCATAGCAATTTTTTTACAGAGTGTAGCTGTCATATATTGGGAAGAAAAAAATTATGGTCAAGCACGTCATCATTTCATTTATTCACAAGATGGCAAAAGTTGTGCCAAGCTACTGATAGAATTCCAGAGGATGCAGGGATTCAAAGGGGAGGTGGACCTTTTTATAGTCCAAGCTGTATTACAGTATTTGTGCCTGAAAAATAAAAGCACAGCAAATCAGACATTTACTAGCTATACAGAACAACATCCTAGGATAAGGAAATCAGGGCCTCCATATTTGTTACCTCTGTTGAATTTCTTGTGGTTTTTGCTGCAAGCTATTGAAAGGTAGGCCAATGATGGTTTTTGAATGACTGAACAATCAATATTACCAACCAATGTTGCATTGAAATATTGAGTTCCAAAAAATTGTGGTATTTTGGATAATGAAATTTGAAATTATGTTTTCTGTCATACTGAGCCAATGATTTATACAGGGTGTTCCTAAACATCATGTACATCCGAAAGGAGGTAATTCCTCAGACCATTTTAAGACTAAAAGTTCATATAAACTCAGGTCCGAAAACGCTTCGTTACCGATCTACGGGGTGTTGAAATTTCAATTTTTTTATAGATTCTCACAAACATTTGAGATGTCCATCGATGTAAGCCCTATAACATAATCTATGTTTCAAATTTGAGCCACATATCTCAAAAACTGCAGGATCTATAAAGAAAAAACAAAAAAATCTTGAAATTTCAACACCCCGTAGATCGGTAACAAAGCGTTTGCGGACCAATGTTTATATGAACTTTTAGTCTTAAAATGAGCTGAGGAATTACCCCCTTTCGGATGTACATGATGTTTAGGAACACCCTGTATTTGTGGATCTATTATTATTGAAGCTTATCAATTACTGATAAAAGTGTGGTTTTATCCAGGGTTTTATATAAAAATATAAACAATAAATTTAATCACATGATTTAGGTAGATAGATAGGCACATTTGTAATAATACCCTGGGATTAGATCTATCAGTACAAAAACATGATATGAAAATGATAATACCCTACTCCAAAACATCACTAAAACCATTAATCAAAGGCTCATGATATTTCCTGTGATTAAGACTTTTAGAATGGGTAGATAGGTTAGAAAACTTTTTTTCTGTAATACTGGTTGTTGAAATTGAAATTTTATTCAGTTTCTTAATTATCTAAAAAGCACTGTCTTTATCAATTTTCTTTCAAATAAGATGATACTCAATGAAATTAATCCATGACCATTTGTTATTGAAAAAGAACACAGTTTTTTTTTGATAACCCTTTAATATGGTATGAATAAACAGAAAATTTGTCTTTACTGTGCATAACAAATATGGTAAAAAAAAATTGATGTTCCCTAGTAATTGTTTCACTGTGACATCAACAAAGATGCCTCATAGCACACCATATTTTATTTCAGCCATAATGAAAATATGTCTCCCCATGGATTCAGAATCGATGTATTTTAGCAATGGTTTTCTTGAACACCCTTTTTCCAAAACTCAGTCCAAACTGTTGCTGTGAGTGCTCTCTCTTTTTATTGCTGAGTTTGTTTTGTTGTGATAGAGGTCTAAAATTTCATATAACAGGGTTAGTATGGATTACAAGTTTTTTAAGCCTGGAAAGCAAACTAGGAATGCATGGAAATCCTAGATATCATGAACTTTATACAGGGTGATCCACGGTGGATGGCCTATTAGAAGTATCTGGAGAACAAAGAGACAGAACATTCTGAAAATTGGGATGCTTTGATAATTGAACAGTTTCTATCCGTCTAAAATATTTTCATCGATACAGTGTTGCCACTTCTATCAGAAACATTTAGCAACTTTGTTATTTCAAATGGAACACCCTTTATTTTATTGCATTTTTAGATTCTTCCTGAAGAGCTGATTTCATCAATGCATGACAATCGGGGTCTAGCAGGAATGATTGCAGAGATATAGGGTGTTCAAAATTGAGATTTTTCAATTTCATGAGGCTTACACAGCTTACATGACTCTATCTTAACTTTTGATTCATTATCTACTGGAATATTAAAGAAAATCTGGAAATAAAATTGTTCTTCAACGCCCTCTCACGGCTCAACATTGCATTTTCGTATAGATGTAAGTTGATTTCAATTGGCTCATTTTGTTCTTTTATTCACCCTGTAGAATTTATGGTACGATGTTCTGGGACACCTTGTATTTTATATTGATTAGGTATTTGTTATACATGCTAAGAAGTACGCCCTCTGTCGTCCTGAATATAACTAACGTATGGGCCATGTAATACTTTATCTAACTTTGTTCAAATTAGTTTACATGTGTTCCATTTGAGAAGTTATTGAATAAATGTGTTTGAAAATACTCAACACGTTGAAAATATAGCATAATACCACCTGTAAAAAAATATAAACAATCCAGGAATGGCCCCTAGAGTAGTACCAGTTTCGCCGTTCTGGCGCTGCGATCTTAATCTCAGTCGCCTATTATGAACTATGTATTACTATTCAACACCTTGCAACTCTGAAACGAAGATAGATATCAATATGCGGTTATCACCATTGAGTTGAGTCATTTGAATAGGCGAGTCGACTAATTTTTTTTATACCTTTCAATTCCATATTTTCAAGAATTTTCGGTCGATTTTTAGGTGCAAAAATCATCAATAATGCCACGTAAGTAGGGGTAGACCATAGCACAGTTGCCATGTGTTGAAATACAATCAGGAACTTGAGAAATATTAGTTATTTCATAATTCATAAATTTTCCTAATTAGCAATAAAAATTCAATTGTCTCAAAATGTCCGCTTATGATTTGTGGCTTATTGCTCATAATAAATTTGTGTAAATAATAATTATATTAATTCACACAAGAGGACATTTCAATCGATGAACGTGACAACCCCGCGCACGACTTGTGGGCGTGGTCTTGTCAGTTGTCAGCACTCAGCACATTGTTGCGAGTATCCAACATAAGAAATATTTGGACATGCTGGTCGCTCTAAAAAGTCAAGAATGAACTATAACCCAGCGAGCACAAAAACATCTCTGCGATGTTCTGTTCACACATGAATAGAACTATTACAGAACAGCCAATGTCCGCCGCAGGCGGCAATTATCGAGATGTCCTTGATATGTCACAAAACTACCTTCTCTCTAGTTCTTTTTAAAGCCTTTTCATGGACACAACAGAACATTTTCAATGCGTCTTGCGCACATTAAATTGCTGTAAAAAACATTTTCGAGGTACTTTTCTGAAGCCTTTTGTCAAAATGAACTTTTGCATTAGGATTCCATTTCCCTTGAATGAAAAAATGCATTAAAAATAGATTGAACATAAAAATATTTTTTTGATATGAAATTACCTTCTTAATCGGTTTCTGAGTAGTGCTTACTACACACAGACATATAATTGGAAATAGGTTTCCCAATTTTTGAAATGTTCTCCACAATGCATAATTTTGCAACTGCGGAGAAGCTGTGTATTGATGAATTCGTACTTTTATATATTGATTACACTGAGGCACCGAACAACGCATCTTGCATCTGATGGTCATTATTACAAACTAAATAAGTCTTCTAACACAATAAACTTCACCAAATTCCTTTCTGTTCGTTAGCAGCGTGATGTACGCGAGACACGCTGCAAACGCGAATGCCAATTGCGAACAAGAAGAACAAAATGAAAACAAATCAGAATTCATCGTATTGTGACGTAAGCATGAGACGTTGTGGTGGGGCAAACAAAGAAAGGGTACAAGAGAACAAAAACAATACTTCCAATATCCTTCTAAGACCTCTTTGGGAAGTGCATATTACGCCTCAAAAAAACATCCTCATGCCTACATTTTTAAAATATCCCAAAACATCCCAGGGATACCTCTCAGTAGGCAAACAAAGAAATGCCACAGAAGAACAAAAACAATACTTCAATATCCTTCAAAGACCTCTTCGGTCAGTGCATATTACGTCTCAAAATAACATCTTCATGCCAACATTTTCAAAACATCCCAAAACATCCCAGGGATGTTTGTGCTCGCTGGGAATGTTCTGAGATCCTTCTATTATATTTTATTTAACGACAGGACTCAACATATTGTTGATAACTTGATTATATCAGAAGGGGTGAAAGAACTTACAGTCACAACTCCACCACATAAACAATTTAATAATGCCCAACGGTCATGAACATAAGGACATGTTTCAAAGGTTTAATCCTTCATCATCAGCAAAATTTATCAAAAGAAAATCTGTAAGAAGAAACAATGCTTATTACTTTATTATAACTGGTGACTTGACAACCTTGCTTCATGAGTGGAAATGGAAGATTATCTGTCCAATAACGTTACGTTTGAAGTGAGCTCTGAATTTCAACGACTTTGAACAATGCATAAACTTATTATCTAAATAAAGAAAGCATGAGAAGTGTTGCAAAAATTGAATTAGGTTCCTAACAACACAGTGGAGTAATTGAATACCAATAATTTATTATCAGTCTACTGGCCCATTGATCCTCAGGCACCGACATCCGTTTTTTTCTATCTAGTACGGGAATAGGACATTCCTTTTGAAAGTTTCCAATTTGGGCCACCCTGTATACAATGTATTTCGAATTTGCAGCCAGAAACTGCAAACGTTCGCAGTGCTGTGCGAGAAGTACGAACCGTCTCTGAAACGGGACCCCTGCTACCTCCAGTACCTCGACAAAATCGGCCAGATCTTCTTCGGGCTGAAGCCGCCGCAGCAGCAGCAGCGAGGTGGGTTCTTGGGCAGTTTTCTCGAGAACTTTCTCAACGGTCTGGACGAAGACAGCGACGACGAGAGGCCTCAGGCGTCCATTTCCAGTGCCTCGAGTAGGAAACCCATGGTGGAAAGTGCCGATTTGGACTAATACTTAATGAATTGATCCGCCGCGAGTGTGCGGGTGAGATAGTATTTCAGCGGTGAATAAAATCTTGTACCTTCTAAAAGTGTAATTTTGTAATCATTAATATGGTGAAATAAAACCCACGATAACAATGCGTTTTCGATATATCTGAAAGATGTTTATTTATTCTTAATTTTGATTGTAGTTGTAATTCATCCAGGGGCGTTTTAAGGTTTACAGGCGCCTGAGGCTAAAAATTAATCGGCGCCTGTAACTAGTGAATTTTTTGTCCCATAAAATAGTTGTGTTCAATCCTTGTTCGAAAATCTGTCAGTTAAGATAAAAAAAAGGCATGAAAGATTACTATAGGTTAATACAAGCAAATGGATATCTCATTAAAACTTATGAATAGAAATGCAGAAAAAATATGTTCATAAGTAATATAATACAGAATGAGTATCAAAAACATATAATAACATATAAATAACATATAAACAGGTACATACAGAACAGAATAAAAATAACAAAATAAATTAACAAATTCTTTGGTTAGTAGCATTTTGGCTATACCGGGTGACACAGGTTATCGGGCCACCCCTGTAACTTCTGCATTCGTCAACGGATTTTTCTGAAATTCGGTACAGTTATATAAGCAACTATTTCGGATTTGATCACATTAAAATCCAATATGGCGGACTTCCGGTTTTTCTGGAAATGCCAGCAATTTTGTTTTTTCAAATGGAACACCCTGTATATTTTTACATATTCAAGTTCAACAGGTCAAAACAAGTGCAATCTTGATGTCAAATGTCATTTATTCCACAGCCTACCCAGTTGAAAAATTATTCTAACTGCAAGGAAATTCATAAACTAGTCTACTAGATAACACGGTACAGGGTGATCCACATAATATCCATAAAAAAGGAAATATTCTGTGTGAAAAAAATAAATGGGATTTTTCGATACTTCCAGAGTATTCAAATACCGGGTGACACAGGTTATCGGGCCACCCCTGTAACTTCTGCATTCGTCAACGGATTTTTCTGAAATTCGGTACAGTTATATAAGCAACTATTTCAGATTTGATCACATTACAATCCAATATGGCGGACTTCCGGTTTTTCTGGAAATGACAGCAATTTTGTTTTTTCAAAAGGAACACCCTGTATATTTTTACATATTCAAGTTCAACAGGTCAAAACAAGTGTAATCTCGATGTCAAATGTCATTTATTCCACAGCCTACCTAGTTGAAAAATTATTCTAACTGCAAGGAAATTCATAAACTGGTTGTTGATTTTTGAATGTATACAATTTGTTACTGCACCGAAAAACAAAAATGATATGTCATTTTGTTCCTTAATGTATGTTCTAGAGAGACGGGTAGGTGGCCCATAGGGGTTCTATTTGATAAAAAATAATTTCTGATCAAAAAGTGATGTGGCTGAATTGATTCCTGGATAAGTGACACAAAAAACATTTTTCAGAAAAAAATATGTTCTTCTGTTATGTGTGACTCATTGTGAATAGTCTTGACCACATCTCATTTATCCACGAGGTAAAATGAAAAAACAATTTTAATTCAAATTTTTTCGAAAAATTGACATTTGAAATAAAGATTGCACTTGTTTCGACCTGTTGAACTTGAATATGCAAAAATATACAGGGTGTTTCATTTGAAAAAACAAAGTTGCTGGCATTTCCAGAAATACCGGAAGTCCGCCATATTGGATTGTAATGTGATCAAATCCTAAATAATTGCTTATATAACTGTACCAAATTTCAGAAAAATCCGTTGACGAATGCAGAAGTTACAGGGGTGGCCCGATACCCTGTGTCACCCGGTATAGTTGATAATTGAAACGTTCTTGAAACTTGATACATCAATTACATCATAAATATATGTATAGTCTTTTCCTAAACAATATCATGACTAATGGACAGATAAAAAAAATCTCAGGATCAATATCTGATGAAAATTCAATATCAAAATAAGTAATAGTGAATCATATCATATCAATGATATAATTGAAACATTCACAATATTGGCTGCCGTCACCATCAATTGGCTGCAGCCGGTTGTCAGATCACGATACTGTCGCTACAAGCACAGTAGAGAGCTTCAGCGAATCTTCAAACATCGAGGTCAAGTGACGTCACCCACAACGAATGAACTCAATATAAATAACATGATATTTCTTCCTTCTTTCATGTGCCTTTTTATCATAGAAATCATATTATATATCAGTATATATAATATGATTTCTATGCTTTTTATACACAAAAATTTTCCAGAAATACTCTAGTTTTAAATTTTTTCTAATATATCAGAATTTCTGAAATCTGGTGATAATTTTTCATATCTGGTGATTTCTACTCCACAGATCTGGCGATTTAAAATTGTAACTTTTGGCAACACTGATAGAGGGCCAGTGTTGCCGTTTTATGTATAATTATTTGATAATTATACAAATTATGTATAATTTGGAGGTCTGTGTATAATTGTATGTATTTTTCGATTCTATGTATAATTCTGTATTACATGTTGAAAGCAATACTATTAAATGTAATACATGACGTTTTCGGATTTTCGTTATCGAATGGATATCAATTTGGTTCTTCGTTTGTTGAAAATAAAAACCAATACTAGTAATTCCTGATGGAGACAAGAAGTCACTACCAATGACCTGCTTTTTATTTTGTCACTTGTGGATTTATACAAATGGCAGATGACATTTTATATTATAATCAAAGAATAATAGGTAGGTTCAGATTGGTTCAGGTGCATTATTTATGGAAGTTCTGAATAGAAATACAGATATTTATATTTTTCGAAGAAAAATTGCTCGCAATCGTTGGTGTATAAAATTTGTATATTCCCAAATTGGATGTGTATAATTTTTTATAATTATGTATAATTTGGGTCGGCGCCTTCCTTATATGGTAAATAGTTTGTGGCAACCCTGTAGACTGTAGAGGGCTCTGTCTGACAAGATGACAGATTCATTCTTCATTCTGTCAATGCGCAAGGCTGCAGAAAATGCCTCCATTTTGTTTATTTTCTAATGTGAAAAGTGTAGTGTCGGCGTCACGGTAAATCATTATATACGATATCAAATGGTCACAGGATAAATAGAAAAGATTCTTCTGAGTTGAAAAATATAATCGTATATATGTTTCTTGTGTGTTTCCCTCGTCCAGAGGGTTCAAAATATTGCAGACATTGGGCGCATCGCGAGTAAGCACTTTGTCAAATTGACTACTGTGTCGGGCACAAAAAATAATTCCCAAAATACCCATAGCAGTAATAACACTGTAAATCGAAGTGAGGTGACAGACAAAGAAGGTCCTCTACAGATAAAAAGGAATAAAAGCGTATTTGGTACCATTGGCAAAGACAAAACTGTGCCCGTTTCATCTTCACCCCCGATAATGAACCACGTGACTGGACACTACCGAAAAAACGACGATAATCTTCCGAATAACCAGAATATTAATGCTAATGAAGTAGAGGAAATGGAAACTCAAGAAGGTAAGTTTAAAACTTTAAAAGTCATCCCAGACAGCCATGACAGGGTGTTTGATGTGACATATGACAAGTTTTACAACCCACAACAATTTTTCAAGTGAAAGAACTATTGTTTGCATTCCAACAATGTTCTTGAAATAAAGTATTTATGTAGTGACTACAATGGAATACATCACAGATTCTGGTGGTGCAGAAATGGAGGATACTCAGAATGGGGAAGTGGTCATTGGCCCCCAACCAGACCCAAATATGAGTGTCCAGGATTCTGATATGGAAGAAGATGATGCCCGCTCAGAAGCAACTTTTAAATATACTGTTCAAAATTTCAGTAAACTGAAGGTGAGTAACATGATACTTCAGTTTTCCTTCACCTTAGTATGACCCTCAGAAATAGAACCTCACACAGATCTCTGGAACTGTTGAATTTATAGTATTTTTCAATTATACATACATACCCTCTATAAATTTTACAGTATAATTATAAATCAAATACTCTGCAGTTATCATAACCATTGAGCCTCAATGATTGAGGTAAACTAACTTTACTATATTATATTGAATAATATTTTAGATAAAACTGCATTTAGCATGTGATGGTTTTTTTTTGAAAATTTTTTTTGGTACTTATGTATTTTTGTCTGAAAAACAGGAATTTGACAATGATAATGTGAACAAACCACAAAGTTTGAAATTTCTACTCCATTTTCCCCTTGTGTTGGATGCATTTACAGGTACTTGCCCCTCTTCTTATTTTGTCATTGGACACTTTATATACTCATGATGTACTTCAATGACACATTTTTATACAGAAAATTCAACAGGAAATATGAGTTTTATGGTGAGTTTTTCATATTCAGTGAACAAACATACTAGATGATGGCCATTTAATTAATAGTCAATCCAAGTACGAGATGTCAAATGTCAACAGAGTGCTTTTGAATAACATTACACATGCCATTATTTTAAATGAAATTCTTCCTTCTTTTCACTAAATATGGATAAATCACAAGAAAATTATATTTCTAGTTGACTCAATGATAGAAAATAATGTGTCTTACATTGTGATATATATAAATTGTCCAATGATGAAAAAACAAGGGTAAATTGTTTTAAATTTAATCCAGAAGACTACGAAAAAGAAGGTGAAATTTGTAACTTTATAGTGAAATATCTCAATAAATAATGGTTTGTTCACATGTTCATTATTAAATTAGTGTTTTTCAGACAAAAATACATATGTACCAAAAACAATTTTCGAAAAAAAACCCATCTCATGCTAAATGCAGTTTTACCATATTTTATATAGAATTTACTTTGACAGGGATTTCAGATGCTCAGACATCTTTTAAAAATAGAGATAGGTACAAGTAAATGTTTCAAGTTTTGCAGTGTACTGTTGGGAAGTTGATTTTCATGTGATATAAATTTATAAATATAATTGTTTATGGGACAAAATGAACCATTAGAATTCTAGCTTTAAAAATATTCTTGTTATCACCTAATATGATTTCCAGTGAAAGTCTAATGAAGATTAATTGATGTGCATTTGCTGTATTGCAATAAAAATTTACCTACCCAGATATGTATGTTTCAGAATTAGTACATTTTCAACAACATTCAGAGATCATAAAAATGGTAGGCATAATCTTTGTTTCTTTTTCATTGTGGTGATGTGTCTGAGAGGCAATAATTGGTAGCCCAAATACCAGTAATCATGTTGATAAAATGTTATTTTCTTTATTATTCAGTGGCTGAAAAACATTCACTTCACATTGCTTCTGGTTTTTGAATCCTCTAAACTTTTTGAATTTCCAGATATTATAAATGACTAGGTGAACCTACCTATCTGAAATATCATCCTCATTTTATGCACACTAGATAGTAGCATAGGCGCCACCAGGAAAAAGTGCAGGGGGGGGTGGATTGGACAAAATGTTGAAAAAATTTATGAACAATGACATAACTAGAATAATTTTTGTGCATAACATTCTTAGAGTGTAAAAAAAATCAATCAAAAATCAGATTTGGATTAAAACAAAATACAAATTGCAGTCTTCTTTTATAATTTTTGCAGAAAATATTGATTGCTTCTTCAGCTTTTCAGGGGTCATGCAGGGTGTAGAAAAAATCTGGATTGAGAAAACCCAATCACAAATCTGTGATTAGAGTGTATTTCTTCATGTGTATTAATTTTTTCTTCATGTTTATAATATATCTGAGAATATTCCTTTTCAATGCTTCTTCAGTAATTTCAAACTTCTCATTCCCTAGTTTTTTAGTGCATAATCTCATTAACCTTGATTCTCTAATGGTATAGATCTCTAGACCATTGTTTTTGCCCTTTTCAGTGTATTAAAAGATCTTGATAAACAATGAACTGCCCCCCTAGCGGCGCCCATGGGTAGTGGCTAGATTTGTATCAACTTGTAGTGTGATAATTTTCATTTTCTTCAAGATGACAGCATATGAATTGATTTTTCCATGTGACTTGCACAATTCTAATCATGATATCATAATGAGAAGCAAACAGGTTTTGGGTGTATCTTTATGATAAATCGAAATATATACAGTGTGACCCATTTGAGAGTCTTGAGACTGAAAGACCCAGGCACCTTTAAGAAAGTCATATTCATCAACTGATTTCAACAAATATATTTTCATCAAAAGTGTATCAAGAGCCTATGCTAGGGCCTGCAGGTTCTTTTTAATACCAAAAACACTTGATGCATTTGCGTTTTTTTAATATGTGACCACTAATAGATTAGGAAACCCTCAATGAACAATGATCCAAATATGTCAATGAATAATATAACCAGCAGAAAAGTAGAAACAACCAAAAACTTGATTCTGTTCATGAAGATTTCAAATATAATCTGATGATTGTCAACATATTTGAAGTCTTTATCATAAATTTCTCTAAACTCTATTTCTGGGCATTTTTGTGAATGACAGCTAACTTGAGGTCCCTATATTCTGTAGGATAGTGGTGTGTCCTATGTAAATAAATACAAAAAACTCAATTTATGGTTGTGGTTGGGCAGACATGGGTTATTTACTTACCACGTGAAATTTTTTCACCCAAATTTCATGAATATTTGTGGTTTTCATGAACGTTGGCTACTTTTTTGTGAAACTCAGGAAACTACAAACAAAATTCTGATAGCTTGCTTCATTTTTGAGATACAGGGTGAAATCAAAAATGTTGCATTTTGTACCCTCCCTGTATCTCAGTTATCTTTCTACTTATAGGAAAAGTAAAAACTGTCACTTATACACTTTTTCACGTGGAGTCCAGTGGCGTAGTCAGATGTTCAAAATAAGCTGTTATTATTTAGATATGAACCAAAGTTATGTTTTTTTTTTAATTGAACACCCTGTATATTTTGTCATATTTGAAACATTGAGGCTTTGCACTTTCCAAAAATTTATAACACTTTTATAATATTTTGAGTATTAGCCTTTCATTTAGATAATTTACAATTTATTGCTTTGCCATGTAAATGGGTAGCAATATTTTCAATATCATGAATTTTTATATTAACCCTGTTTCTGACAGAATGTTGTCACACACTAGTTTTAATTTTACCAACATTCATTATTAACCAATATACAGCACTATTTATGTCTATAAAGGCTGTGGACTTATTAGGTAACTATGAATAAAAAAAAGCAGATTGTTTCATAATTATTCTGGTCACCGATTTCCAAAGTCATCCAATGGCGAATTATAATCCAGGAGGTCAAAACTATAAGAAAACCAACTTATATCCCAAATATAATATACAGGGTGGATACTTTAACTGGAATAAATTCACCACTGGGGGTGTGAATGATTTTTCTGAAAATTCGCAAGACACATTGTCCATACAAGGTGTAGCCTAGTTAACTAAAACAATAGACGACGGGCATACAGGGTGATAAACCAAAGTCGATGGAACACATACAGTGTGACCCATTTAAGATGGAAGCACCCTTATAAAACTTACATTTTTCAACCGATTGGAATGATTTTTTTTTGTTAGGTAGATATTCAAAAAGTCTATTAGGACACCAAATATCATGAATAAATCTCCATTTCCAGGGCCAACTAATCTGATTTTTCAAGGTCAAAAATCTAAAAAAATTACTAGCGATTTTTTTAGAAAAAATCTGACTACACCACTGGATTTGTGACATTTTCAAATGGGTAACATGTAAATTACGTTGAAATGCGTCAATCAATAAAAAAGTTATAAAGGAATGAAATTTGAAAAATATGCCGTTTAATCAACCCATCAATTTTTATTACTGAACAGATTTCGATGAAACTGTGATCAGTAATATTTCAAGACATCCTGAATCCAGTGGAGTATACAGAATTTTCATAAAATTCCTGAACATGAATTGGTGGGTTGATTAAACGGCATATTTTTCAAATTTCATTCCTTCATAACTTTTTTATTGATTGACGCATTTCAACGTAATTTACATGTTACCCATTTGAAAATGTCACAAATCCAGTGGTGTAGTCAGATTTTTTCTAAAAAAATCGCTAGTAATTTTTTTAGATTTTTGACCTTGAAAAATCAGATTAGTTGGCCCTTGAAATGGAGATTTATTCATGATATTTGGTGTCCTAATAGACTTTTTGAATATCTACCTAACAAAAAAAAAATCATTCCAATCGGTTGAAAAATGTAAGTTTTATAAGGGTGCTTCCATCTTAAATGGGTCACACTGTATATGACACATATGATGGACGCACTCCTGTATCATAAATGACATTGAATTATGACATTTCCATGGGCGGGAGAGTTTTCTATGATACATGCAATGACCGGATGAGATTATCGTCATCAGGGGCGTAGGCGTAGATATCACAGTATCAGCCGTATCAATGATACTGCCCCCCCCCCCCCCATCACATGGCTCTGGTTTGTGTAATCAAAAATTAGCAAAATGTTATCGACAATCTTACTCAATTTATTAGGACTTATCAGTGGCGTAATTATGGGGGGGGGGAGGGGGCTTATGGGGCCTGAACCCCCTCCAAAGCTTTCTGAATAACCGGTGAACAATTATTAGAATATTGGAAAAGTAGACATTAGTATATGAAATATCACAAGAATTCAATTTTTGTAATTTGTTAGTTCTTAGCCACCCTGTATTTTGTCGAAATAAAGAAGAAATGAGTACAGATTCAAAAAATTCTTGAAAAAATATTCCACCATAAGAGTTTTTGAATGACCAAAATACGTTGACAATTACGATGATAAAGCCGGGGTGACATTTAAGTGGGACATCCTGTACCAAGGACGAAAACATTATTATTGAAGTAGGAAATGTTTAGAAAAAAATGG